TAGAGGTATGCATTATCACCGCCCAGCTTTTACCTGTTTTAAGACAGTGTCATGTCACTAAGTCGCCCAGGATGGCTTTGAACTAACTCTGTAGCCAATATCTTGAAAATTTGATCCTCCAACCATAGCCTCCTGAGTAGCTGAGATTACGAGCTTGTGTTTCCAGGCCCTGCTGAGGTCATGTCTTCTTTTATGTGAGACCTAACCCTGGTGAGTGCTTGCAGCCACTAGCTGGGATCTGGGAGTGGGGTAGGCAGGGGACCGTTCATCTCAGTCTTCAGTGACTCACAGGGGCATGGTGGAGAATAGGAAGGAGAGCGGGTTATGTATAGGTCTGTCTGCTCCTCTCAACACACTATTCCTTCAGAAGGCCCCCGCTCCCCAGAGATAATTCAGGACTCCTGCTTGCCATGTGCTCTGTGTCCTCCTTTTTCCCAAGCCTGCAGATCGTCTTCCATCTCTGTCTGAGGGTTTTGCCCATTAGGAGTATGTACTGCTGTTGGGTTTTAGTATTTTGTTCAAAAGATTTCTTTTTATTTTACGTATGTTTTTGTGTGTGCATATATCATGTGTGTGTGTGTGTGTGTGTGTGTGTGTGTGTGTGTGTGTGTCTGCCATGTATGTATATGTGTTCTTGGAGGCTAGAAGAGGTCATCAGATGGATGTGGGTGTGGGAAACTGAATTTGGAAGACTAGCAAGTTCTCTTAACCACTGACCCATTTCTCCAGCCCCAGTTTTTCAGTTTTTTTGAGACAAATACAGCCCAGGCTAGCCTTGAACATTATGACCCTCCTGCTCAGTCTTTTGAGTACTTAGACGATTGCCATCATGCTTGGCTCTGGGAGACACATTAAGCAACCTGTACTTCTTTGTCACATCTTTAGGTTTAAAGTGAGTTCACCTTGTGAGCCAATGTCTGTCTACACTGTGAAGACAGGGTCACATAGTCACATGCTCCTCCCAGTAACCCCTTAAAACAGCTTCCTGAGATAGCACTTGTTTACCTTTTTAAAAAATTACATTCATCTCTGTGTGTGTGTACATTTAAAGAGTTCCGAGGACAACTTGGGGAGATGGCTCTCTCTTTTCATCATATGAGACACTGGACTGAACTCAGGTCGTCAGGCTTGGCAGCAAATACTGTTACCCCCTGAGCCACCGTTTACCCCCTGAGCCATCTTGCTGGCTCTTCTTGGACAGTGTATATTTGAAATATTATTTTGCCTTTCGTTCCTAAAAGAAAACTTGTTTCTGTGTTCTGACTCTGCATTCCAAATATGTGGTTGCTTTTTATGTATCTGCCAAAGGAACAGGACCAGGCAGACTGTGTCTCTTAGAAAGGGGCGTGTCTCTGTGATCTGAGTGACAGAAACTAGTTTCTCTCCTAATGCAACTCCTGGCAGGTTGGCCTCAGGCTTCCCCTCATTTCTGATCCCTCCAGAGGAGGCTTCCTCCACTGGAGCTTCTGTGGGACTTTTTACATGGTTAAAATGGGGGGACCCTCCCCTCCTCTCAGGTAAAGCCCAGAAACAGCCTGAGCAAGTTTTGGTTCCTCTTTTTTACTCCCTTGGTGAAGCAAGACAGTTTTGTGTGGACAGACCCGTGAGGCTCCAGTCACACCACTGAGTTCCTGGCTCGTGGTGAGCGTCAGTAAGGGTCAGAGAAGCTAAACTTAGACCAGCTTCACCATATTCTATGGCAGCCTCGCCTCCTGAGGGCTGGAGATTTACTCAATCACTAGCCCGTGTACATGCCCAACTGAGGCCCGGGTTTTCAAACATGCCCAGGAGCTCCGGTTTGAGGTGTGAAATGAAACAACTCATGATGGCTCTCCTAGGCAAGGGTCTCCTTCAGGTTCGCTCAGACCCACCTTGCCGGGGGGGGTGACTTCCTGGCATACTTACGCTAGACCCCAAGGTTCTCCTTGCTTGCTCTTAGCCATCTAGTGTTTTTGTTCAGACCTTGCGCTCATGAGGATTGCCTGCCTACCTCAAACAAGCAGATAGTCAAGTGGTCAAAGATGATCTTTGAGTTCAAGTGGACAAAAGGGGCTCAGTGGGTAAAGATGCTCATTATACAAGCCAGACGACCTGAGTCCGATCCTGGGAACCCATGGTGGAAGGAGAAAAGGGATTCTCAAATGTCCTCTGACCCCCACACAGCAGTCATGGCACACGTGTACACACACACACACACACACACACACACACACACACACACACACTATAAGCAAACAAATGTAAAAAACTTTAAATAGAACACAGGGATGGTTGTTCCTTGATTTATCAAGATTCCTGTTTCAGAACCCAAAGTTGGAGAGTCGAACCTAGTGATCTGGGAAAGTGGGCCAGTAATCCGCTGGGACAAGGACGAGGACAAGGACAAGAAATGGGGAGCAGGAAATAAAATCAATGAGAGAAGCTCAGCCAGACTCCCAAGAAAAACGTCAATCTCAACTGTACGACAAGGCAGGAAATGCTCCTTGGAAGAGCTGGGGATGTATGAGGCGTCACTTTTCAACTACAGTATAACAAACAGAGCAAAATAGAAACACACAATTTTATTGAGAAGCCACTAAGGCAAACTGTTCTGCCTGTTCTGCCATTCAAGGACATTTATGCCATGACAGAGGAGGGGGCAGTGTGCCAAGGCCAGTTATGGCCTTTTGGAAAGTGAGCAGGGCCAAAGACCCTGTGTTCCAGAGTGACAGTCACCCTTGAAGAGAGTACATGGGAGGTAGGTGGACATAAGAGGTGCCTGATTGAAAGGCTCCAGGGCCAGGATTGTCTTAGAACTCCTGGGCTCCTAGCTAGACCCTAACTAATGCCCAGGCACATAGCTGAGGACCTTTGGTTTGATATGTGTCACGAAAGAAGTTGGCATACATCCTTAGAACGTAGGTTCGTTTCATGTCATAAGCACGCTCTGCCGCCCCTCTGCCCGCCACTACCACCTGTCTCTAGTAGGTCACAGAGTGAGGTGAGGCAGGCGTGCAGTTAGGGGAAACTCTTGAGGTTTCTCAGAAGCCAGGACGGCCAGGTCTCCAGGTGGTTACCAAGGCATCCAACTGGGTCAGAGCCGGTGGTCAGCTTGAGGGCAGAAGATACCAAGTGACCAAATCAGGGGCAGCCGGGGGCAGGGCGAGGGCGGGAGCACACCACCTATAGAACAGTTAGGGTTTAAAGGGGTCTGGCCTAGACCAGCTGGCATCACTGGGCACCACTTGGACAGTCCCAGGGATTCTGCACTTAGAAGGACTTCAGGATTGGTTTGATGCTTTGATGTTTGTTTGTTTGTTTTTTGGTTGTTTGTTTGTTTGAATCAGAGTCTCTACGTAGCCTACGTCTGGCTTCGAACTCCCAATCCTCTTGCCTGAGTCTTTTGGGTGCCGGGATTACAGATCTTTCAGATTTTTAATTCTTTTTCACCAAGGGTCCCTATATTTTGATGTTGCGCTGGCCCTACAGTCTGCAGCAGGTCCTGATTAAACAGGTGGGTTGATTTAAACTGGGTTTGGCGCGCAGAGCTGGGACCTGCCGCGATGACCGCTAGCTCCACAGGCTACAGACACTTCTTAGCTTGGGACCTGGGTAAGGCAGCCTCTCCCAGCAAGCCTGGGAGCATAGCGGGAAGAGCTATGAAACAGACCACAGATGCTGGAGAGCCTGAGGGGACACCTCAAGGTGTGCTTAGGTCAGGAGAGCTGATGGGATCCGGGGTTGAGAACTTTCACGGCCTTGTCCAGAAAGCAGCTCATAGAGATTAAGACCATGATGAAGTGTCCAAGTCCTCTGCTGTCCATATCCCAGAGCCCCGGGGCGTTCTGCTTCAACTGCTCCTGACAGCATCCTTTGGTAACCAGTGGCACCCAAATCAAGCATGCTTCACTGGAGACTGGGGTGGCAGAGAGGGGTGATAGGAAATTCTTCCAAGAATACCTTATCTCTAGAGATGACAGTCCTTCCCAGGAGGCTGCAGCAGGCTCCATGGCACTTTGGGCCCCAGCAGGCTCCATACAGCCTAGCATTTCCTGCTGTGTGACTCTGACCCCTAGGATCCTTGCCGTCCGGTCGCACACTTCCTTCATCTATACAAAATCCACTGTCTAAAGCCTTTCAGTCAGGGATTATCTCCCTCCTGTCTAGCTACCTGAGGGCCAACATCAGGTTCTCAACCTCTCCATCCAACACAGAATATTGTGCCTTACGTATGAAATCATGCAGCATCACACAGCAGGATGAACAATTGTATGTAGATTCTTTGAGACGAGGTCTCATGCATCCTAGGCTAGCTGAGGATGGTCTCGAACTTCTGCTCCCCTTGCTTTCATCTTTCTCATGATGGGATTATAGGCACGAACCTCCATACTGTGTGTGTGTGTGTGTGTTTGCACGTGAGCTGGGGATGAGCCCAGTTTCATGCACGGTTGGCAAGCAATCTACCAACTGAGTACCCTCCCAGTCAACAACCACACACTGACTGTTTGATTAGCCCTGCCAGGATACCGACACTAAGAAAACATCCAGCCAGGCAGTAGTGGCGCACACCTTTGATCGCAGCACTTGAGAGGCAGGGGCAGACAGATCTCTGTGAGTTCGAGGCCAGCCTGGTCTACAGAGTTCCCAGGACAGCCAGGGCTACACAGAGAAACTCTGTTGCAAACAAACTAACATAAAATAAACAAAAACCCTTCCAAAGTGCTTTGCCGTTCTAAGCCAAAGAGACAAAGACAGGCTCCTCTATTGAAGAACCAAGAGAGAGCTGTGTACCCAGTCACACAGGAGAGGCAGAGCCTGACCTCCTTCTGGTAGCTATTAAGGGCAACAGATATAGTGGACAATTAGAGGCTAAAGGTTCAGGCGCCCATGTATTTGCCTACATCCTGTAATCCTTGTGGGGGTCAGGGGGGAATCTCCCAAGCTGTCCCCTCTCCCTTGACACGGAGTATCCAAAATGCCAAGCAGATGTGGGCAACAGGGAGACGCACGCCTCTACTCACCAGGTCCCCCATGTTATAGGTGATGAAGTCCATGTCCAGGGTTAGTGGGTAGCTCATCGCTGCAGCTCTGCGTCACCAGACTGGTCACCGTCTGATGCTGAGAAGCTCTGTGCGGCTGCCTATGGAGAGGTGGCAGGCGTCAGCTGCAAATTTAAACAAATGAGCTGTGTGCTGTCTCCTGGGGCCGGGTAGGGCTCACCACTCGCCTCTCAACTCATTGCTTTTTTTTTTTTTTTTTCCACTTGGTCTTTTCTGTTGTGTGTGTGTGTGTTTTTTTTTTTCCTTTCTTTTTTCTTTAAAGAAAAAGGGAAAATCCCCCCCCACAGAATCAGCACTAACAAAGCATCTTTCCTGGCAATCGCGCTCTGAGCTGAGCCAGGGGTCTGGCGTGAAGGCAGCCCCTTGCTTCTGCTCGCTGGATCTCTATGAGGGATGCATATAGACTTGGGAAACTCCTCCTAGAAAGGGACCAAAAAAAAAAAAAAAAAAAAAGAGTACTTCCAGCCACCTTTAGATCTCCACTGTCCTCATCACTAGGGTGACCAACCACCCCAGTTTGCCCAGAACTGAAAGAAAGTCCCCTGCCCTGGGAAACCCCTTACCCTAGGCAAACCCAGGCGCTTGATCAAGCTATCACTGCCATCCTTCAGCCCAGCCAGGAAGAAGTAATCTACCCCCTCCTCCCTTTTTAGCTTAAGTTTGAAAGAGATAAGTTAGAATATTTTAAAAGGGAACAACCCTAAATAATACTAGAAGACAGAGAATGAAATGAAATTACCAAACGAAAGCACAATATAAACACAGCCACAAAGCCATGTTCTGACTCAGGAAAAAAAAAAAAGAGCGGTGCTTCTCCTACAATAAACTTGTAGACAGCCTCGCTAGAAAGGACATGGGTGGCCACCTAGGCTGCTCACCTTCTCCAGTTTCACACAAGAGGACCCTGCAGCCCAGAGACACAGACTAAATTACTTGTGACATACAAACCGCGGCTACCTTGAGCCCAAGGGTCCTGACTCCACCTTCATCATCCTCTGCTCCCCAAAATGTCTGCTCTTCAGGCTCACAGCACCTGCTTGTCCCCCTGCTCTGTCTCGTCGTGAGTGCCAATTTTTTCATGAAGACCCATGGTAGATAGACAATGACCCATTTTCCCTCCAGGTCTCATCCTAGCAGGCTTTCCTCCGTGGGCATATCCTGACTTGGTCCATAGTAGTGTAAGACTGCATTCAAAGGCACCTACTCTGGTGTACTGTTTGTTTGGTGTGTGTGTGTGTCGCTTTGCTTTGCCCCAACTTTGCAAACTTAATCATCCTCCCCTTCCAAGCCCCCCCCCCCATCACGCTCCTTGCTCTGCTCTCCTGTTGTTATCACCCTTCCCTCCCAGGCAATCTGCCTCTCAAGGGGATCCTATCCTGACCACCAGAGCTCTCCTTCATCTCCTCCATAGCCCAGTCTCACCTTTCTCAGGCTGAATTGAGAATATATTTTATATCGTCTCAGAATATATATTATATGGTAGCTTGGGGGTTATAATCCCTACCTCTTCCTCATCATATATCTTTCTCAGGACTAAAGTGAAGAGTTCTGGGCTCTGTTTGGACCATCGCAGTCTCTCCCTTCTCTTCTCTCTCTTATTTATTTGAGAGAAAGAGAGAACACTTGCGGAGATCAGAGGACAACTTGTGGGAGTTGGTTCTCTCTTTCTACAGTGTGGGAATGTGGGACCTGGGATCAAACTCAGGCGGTCAGGCTTGGTGGCTAGTGTCTTTACCTGTTGAGCCATCTTACTGGACCTCAAAACTGCTCTTAAGAAGGAAGAAGGCTAGAACAAGGGGTTGGAGCGCCTTTCTAGGACTTCTAGTCCTGACGCTTCAGGGACTCACTGCCTCAGTGCTTCCTGGGTCTGGAATTGACTTGGTACTGCTCACCCTTCTAGCCCTACTCCCCACAGCCTTGCCCCTCCGGCCCATTAACCTATGCAAGTCAACTTTCGCCACCCTCAGCACACTGCTCAGAAAAGAAAAAGCATGAGAACCTCCGAGAAGGAAAGGGGTTCTGAGAGACACCCCAGTCACTTCCCACCCTGCCTCCCCCACAGGGCGTGCAAGCGTAGAGGTCACCGCACCTTCATCAGACGCTCGCATCATCACTCAAACGGTGAGAAAGTCACCTCGTGAGATCATGTTTCCTCAGATGTGAGAGTGCATGTCTGTCACCCAAGCACTCGGGAGGGTGAGGCAAGAGGATTGTCAGTTTGAGGCTAAAGTGATCTACTGGGTGAGAACCATGCCAAAAAGGAAGGAAGAAAGAAAGAAAGAAAGGAAGGAAGGAAGGAAGGAAGGAAGGAAGGAAGGAAGGAAGGAAGGAAGGAAGGAAGGAGAGAGAGAGAGGGAGGGAGGGAGGAAAGAAGGAAGGAAGGAAGGAAGAAAGAAAGGAAAAAAGAAAGAAAAGAGAAGAGGGTAGATTATGTTTCAGTGTAGGATGGTTTAGTGTTTAGTATTAGAAGCTGACTCCTCATGCTGAGTCAAAATATATCTTCTTATGACGCCCCCAGCAGTCCTAGCTGGGCCTCAGACAGGACCATGTAACATGCCTCCCAAGTGACCTCTGGGTACGGACATCATGTGCCTGTGAGTCTCATGCGTCCCAACCCACATCCTAATGTCTTCAGCTATCTTTCAAAGAACTGGTTTCTGGGTACAGTATCAGCCTGATCTTTGACCTCAGGGTGATTTCCTGTCAATAGTCCAGAAAGTCTGTGACTTAGGACAAACTATGGAAAAATGACTTTCCTTGTTCATGACTCTAAGCATATTTAGTTGCAGTTAGTATGACCATTCCTGTGGGCTCCTCTCCTCCTGACAGCATGCTAAGTGGGTTTCATGTTGATGGCCCTGATCCACCATTGGATTTTATGAAGGGAGACTCGTTGTCTGTGGATGCAATGACAACATAAAAAAAAAAAGCCTTCCTTAGGGGTAGCCAAGTCTTGATAGGACAACTCTTGGCAGAACAAAGCCAAAACCAGCACCCTGCTTCATATAAGTAGATACCTCAAAGGTCAGGGAAGACTTCATGGAAGAAGGACGGAAGCTGGACATTAGGGAGGGGTGTGATTGGGGGAGGGTTTGATGATGACGTTGGAGGACTGCATAAAGAGGTCTGGAAAGAACTGTGCCATGAACGGCCCACTTAGACACTCAGCAATGGGGTGTGGTGACGGGAGAAGCTGGGAGGAGTCTGGAATTGCCCTTGTGGCTGTCTGCTCTCTTACTCTCAATCACTGTCCTTTCCCTGTGCTGTGTTGTAGGCTCAGAGGAATGTCAGGGGGGCTCACGATTCTTCCTCCTTCCTTCCTTCCTTCCTTCCTTCCTTCCTTCCTTCCTTCCTTCCTTCCTTCCTTCCTTCCCCAGGAAACACATGGTAGGAGAAAGCCAGCTTCCACAAGTTGTCCTCTGACCACCACATAAGTGCTGTTGCATGCATGTACACACACACACACACACACACACACACACACACACACACTGAATGTAATTGTGATGGCTAATCTTGGTTTTCACTTGGAAGAGGGAACCTCAATAGATTTGTCTCCAACAGATTGACCTGTAAGCAAATCAGCAAGGCATTATTTTTCCTGTTTTGTTCTCTTTTTATTTTCAGATTTATTTTTATTATTTTATGTGTATGAGTGTTTTGCCTACATGTAAGTCTGAGCACCACACACAGGCCTGATACCTGAGGAGGTGGTAAGCCTCCATGTGGGTGCTGGGAATCAAACCTCAGTTCTTTGCAAGAGCAAGTGCCAACTCTCCAGCCCCAGAAGGCATTTTCTTTTTTGTTTTTGTTTTGAGATAAGGTTTCTCTGTGTATCCCTGGCTGTTCTGGAACTCGCTCTGTAGACCCGGCTGTCCTCAAACTCATAGAGATTGTCTGCCTTTGCCTCCCTTTGGTGGGATTTAGAAGTGTGCACCACTGCCTAGCCCAAGGGGCATTTTCTTGATTGTTGATTGATGGTGGAGGGCCCAGCCCACTGTGGGTGATGCCTCGCTGGGCTTGTGGTCCTGGGAGGTAGAAGAAAGGCAACTGACCCTGAGGCTGGAGTCAGTAGGCAGCATTCCTCGCTGATTTTTATTTCAGTTCCCGCCTCCAGGTTCTTGCTCTGGCTTCCCAGGATGATGGATTGTGACATGGAAGTATAAGTCAAACAAACCCTTTCCTCCATTTTATCATAACCCCAGAGAAGCAAACTAACACAGTAATAAAGATAAATAAGATGTATGAGTAGATAAATAAAGAGCTGTGGCCTAAAGCAGAATGCAAAGGAGCATGCCTCTATAATCTTAACATAGAGAATAGAGTGTTGAGGCAGGCAGATTTCTGTGAGTTCAGGGCCATTCTGGGCCATCTGAATGTTCAGGGCAAGACACTGTCTCACAAACCCAAGTATAAAACAAAAACAGAGGTGGGGCAGAAGGAGGTTTAGGCTACTGTGATCTCCTCTCCATGCATCTCCCACAGAGATGGGCCTCCTCTGCCACAGGCCCAAAGCAATGGCGTTAATTGGTGATGAACTGAAACCACATAAACTGTGAGCCAAAATACACCTTTGTGCACCAATGGTTGCAGATAGTTGTCATGGTAACTGGAAGCTTTCTGATACATCACCACAAGGTCTTCAAACCCAGAGAACCAGACTAGCTTCCCTCAGATGGAGAAGTCAATGCCTACGTTATGGTCCTTGACTTAAAAGACTTGAAGGTAGAGGCTTCACCCATATGTTACAGTCAGCTGGGTAAGATAGCCATAATTACATTTCAATTTGCAGTTTGTGTGTGATTCCCAATTTCTACCCTGTGGACAGCCTTTCTGAGGCTGGCTGATTATAACCCAGACTTCTCACCAAAATGACCAGCGGTGTCTTTGCCAGCCTGGATTTGTGTCTGGGTTAGGTGTGGGTAGCTGCTTAAGCCCCAGCGCAGGTGGATTTTCCTCAGTAATTATGCTTTGCTGTTAATAGATTACATTACCTTTTCATTTGTTCCAGCTACTAG